TTAAGTTGTATTTACAACACTGTTCCAGAACAGTTCAACCCAAATATTCAGATGTGTGCAGCGCATTTTACAGAGGACAAGGACTGTTTCCTGGGAGAGTAGCCTACACTGCCGGTGTCTGTTTCTATAAAATGGGGCAGTTCCAACTTTGCAAGGACAGTCTGGCGCTTCTGACTCACAGCCTGTAAGTATGTTTTCATATTTAAAGGATTTGCCACTGATGATTCAAACGCGAGTTTTGAGCAGTGTAGAGTAGCGCTTGTTGTTTGTCATTTCTCCGATCACCAATGCAGACATGGTTTTATGTTTACGCGGCGCGATACGCAACGCGTAAAAAGACAGTAAAAAAGACAGTGTAAGTTATATTATAAGTTATAATCAGTAATTATGTCCCCACTGGATGCAACAAATGCCTCGTTTATAATGGGTTTTAATGTTTTTGTCTCGTCGCTCCGGCCGGACAGGGCATCACAGTATGTTAAGGGGCGTAACATTGCCGTCACACGCTTGAGGTATTCGGCCAATCACAACGCACTGGATAGCTGGCCAATCAGAGCACACCTCGGTTTTCAAACCGATGAGCTTTGTAAATATCGATGCGTATCAGAAAGGTGGGGCATAGAGGAGAAACAATAATGTACAGTATGTGGAAAATAATGTGTTTTTTTAACCTTAAACTGCATAAACTCATTTCATTACACCAAATACACAAAATAATGTTCTGTTTAGCAACATCATATGACCCCTTTAAATAAGACTATCTGAACTTATTCAGAAGGCATTCATGCTGAAATTTTATTCACTAGTGTCACCAATATGGGGTTTTAATGCTGATGATAATATCTAGAGTGCAGAGCAGATATTGCTGATATGTTACTGATATGTAAAGACAGCAAATATGAAAATTATCAAAAACATATACAATTATTTGACAAATACACTTAATCAGATTTCTGAAAATGTAGGACTAGTTTACAGAGAATATGTGACCCTCTCTGTGAAAACCCAGCTAAAGTAATTTTTTTGTGATTTACTGTTTTCTACATAAAACCATCCTTCATAAAGTAAAGAACATTCTGTGGAAATGTAACCTTTATATCTTTAATATTGACTGAGTAGGGCCATGTCAAATATTGAAATTATAGTGAAATTAATGGTTGAATTCAAACTTTGATGCTTGTTATCTCATAATTAGATTTTGAGACTTTAGCCTGGATTTCACAGAGAGGGTCACATATGTCTTAAATGAAGTTTATTTTTCTTAAGCCACTGGCAAGGTTTTTTCCTTTTCCTTTTTTTTTACAAAATTTATCCTTAAACAATTTGCCAACGAAGAAAGAAAAATAAACATAATATTAAAGATATTAAAGATATTCTCTGAAATTAAAGAGTTCACCCAAAAATGACAATCCTGTCATCATTTACTCAACCACAATTTGTTACAAAACTATGAGTTTCTTTTTAACGTACTATGGAAGTCAATGTCTGTCTTCTGAATATTTTGTGCTTTTTCATGCGTTTTTGCTTAATATTTTTGTGATCCACAGAAGAAAGAAACTCATACAGGTTTGGAACAACTTGAGGGTGAGTAAATGATGACCAAATTTTCATTTATGGGTGAATTATCCCTTCAAGTCTTATTATCTTACACAATAACTAACTAACAAAATAAATAAATAAATAAATAAATAACATTTCTTAAATTAATGCTGGTTTATGGACATTTTGAAATGTATAAAATTAGTGGATAACTCTCATGCATTCCAAAAAACATAACTTGATGTTCTATTCCACTCAAAATAAAAAAGTACTAAAGACTTCCATGATATTACCATGCATTTGGACATATGTGACCCTGGACCACAAAACCAGTCATATAAATAAGATTTCCATTGATGTGTTTGTGTATGGTTTGTTAGGATAGGACAATATTTGGCCGAAATACAGCTATTTGAATATTTGGAATCTGAGGGTGTAAAAAAATCTAAATACTGAGAAAATCGCCTTTAAAGTTGTCCAAATGAAGTTCTTAGCAATGCATATTACTAATCAAAAATTAAGTTTTGATATATTTACAGTAGGAAATTTACAAAATAACTTTATGGAACATGATCTTTACTTAATGTCCTAATGATTTTTGGCATAAAAGAAAAATCGATAATTTTGACCCATACAATGTATTTTTGGCTATTGCTACAAATATACCCAAGCGACTTAATTAAGACTGGTTTTGTGATGCAGGGTCACGTGTCAGAAATGTACCATATAAAATCAAACTCTTCACTACTCTATCACATTATGAGTGAAAAAAAGAAGAAGAAATTATAATACACCACACATCTACATTTAAACAGTGTAAATATCATGCAGAAAAGTCACCTTTGTGTCCGGCTGCATTGGTTTTCCAGTCACTGGCTTTCAGGTGAGCCTGTCTGGACGTCTTCACGAGAAGATGCTGGACATCTCTCCAGGTTATCAGAGGACTGAAAGATAAAATGACAAAGACTTTTTATGAGCCTTTCGAGTTTTATTGCTCTATTGAAAAGTACTGTCCTCTGTACAGCAACAGAATCCGTGTATCATTCGTTCATTCGTTTTTTGATTTAATATTGAAAGTAGAAAAATGAGAAAACGGCTCCTTTTTCGTATTTTCGTTTTTTTCCAAAACATGAAAAATGAGAATTCAGCTTAAATTTTCGTTTTTCTTTCTTGGGTGGAAAAATGAATAAACAGCTTTAATATTCGATTTCTACACGCGGGCGGTAATTAAACGCCCCTTTCTGCTGATTGGTCAGCCGAAGATCAAACCGTGCCATCATCAGTTCTTCCGCAGTATCATGCAGCAGAATAATAGTCCTCCACTGCTGCAGTTGTACAGATTAATAACCCATTTTATCAATTTCATATTTTTCTAATCAAACAGACTGATGAATAGCTCGACACAACTCGTACCGGCGCAGAGTCTAGACAGGTCTTTCTTCTGTGTAGACCAGCTGTTCTTAAAGTGATAGGGGGTCCAAGAAATAATTTGCTATAGCCTAAAGTATTTCCAGACTGTAAAGTCGTTTTTTTATCCTGATACATAGGCCTACTGTGATTTATTCCAAAGTGACTTATATGATGCATTTAACGTCAAATAAATGAATGAAGCCTTTTAAAAGATGAGTATTCCCTGTGGTTCATGTTTGTGGCATGCGCCAGAAAGATATGCTCAAGGAGACCGAGACGCGCTAAAGCAGCGCATTCTGTTGTTCTCTTTATTTTTCAAAGGCATGACATTTTGTAGTTATTTTGAACATATAACGTTACACAATTAAAAATATAAATTTTACCATACGACTATAAATGACAGAGTATTAAGTTATTTCCCCTCGATGGGGAAAAAA